CATGATCACCATACCAGTTAGAGTTTGTCTTTGTCAACCAACCTGATCCTCGTTACATAGCTTCCTCCCTGGTCTTGGTCTCCATAAGGGCAAAGAACCGTTTGTCTGAGGCAGCCAGTTTAGTCAGCCCTGGCATAGTGTAGACAACATTCTCTGTAATACTAAAAGATGATTAGAGTGCAGAATGTGACCTCCCTAACCTGCCTTTGCCCCTGAGTGTCCCCAGGGGCTCAGTTATGGCAAACCTGGGCCATTACAGACATTTTCCTCATCTGAGGATCCTGGGGCGTATCACTGTCCTTGCTGGGCCTCAGTTTCCCTTCTAACTGACATTCATTCAGATCCAGTCCACAATCCCAGAACACCCATTCTGGATCAAGCACTGTCATGCACAGGAATCACACTGGCCCCTGTCCTCATGGTGCTCTCTGCCCAGCCCAGCCCTAGCCCTAAGGACCCTGCCTCTCTCTCTCGGTTGGTGTGTATCAAAGGAAAAGTGTCATAGGTAAGGCTGAGATTTGGAGAGAGCAGTGTGCAGGGCTTTGGCCTTTTGCATAGTCTGGATGCATTAGGTAGGGAGGAGAGAGGAAGGCAAATATACTCTGGCTTGTGGAAGGGATGATCCGGAGAGGAATATTGGTTAGTCTTGGCCCCTACCAACCTTCTTCCCACTGGCCAGGATGGCTACCTAGTTTGCAGGGCCCAATGCGAAATGAAAATGCAGGGCCTTTTGTTCAAAGTATTAAAAATTTCAAGAGAACAACAACAAAGCATTCAACCAAGGATAGGGCCCTTCTGAGAGCAAGACAATGTGCAACTATACCCATGAAGTTGGTCCTGCCAATGGCTCACATAATTCTTCAGCAAAGGCTCCCCTCAAACCAGAATCTGCATAAGTCAACCCATAGAATTAGGTCCCCTGATTTGGAGAAGCGGAGAAGAAGGTGGGGAATGGGAAGAGGTCAGTGTTATATTCTTTTCACCATTCCTAACTCCAACACCCAGACATTCTCACCTCCCATCTCCAACCTAGACCACCCTCAGACCCCAGCTTTCCCTCTTGTCTCCTGGCCTAATGGACAGACATGCTTCTAAGACACCAAAAGAGGGCTAACCTGGGACAGGCTAGCTTGCAACCCTGCTCTCTGGATTCAGGATTGCTCAGCTCAGCTACATTTCTTTGCAGGCCCTATGGACAGCTAAGGAAACTGACTTCCCAGCAGCTCCTGTCACCAGGGCCCAAAGTCCATCCGGGAGCCAGGCCATCACCTGACCAGGCAGGAAGTGCCAACCTGTCCCCAGGGAAGAACCAGCAATAACCAGACTTGGGACAGCAGCCTCCAGGCCTTATGATTTTGGAAAACCCAGGACTACCCCATATTGCCCTCACACCCATCTAACCCTCCACCACCCTCCACCGTGGGAGACCTGCCTCCCATAGGCTCCAGCTTTGTCCCCCGCTGAACATGGCCTCCTCCCCACAGACTCCAGCCTGGGCAGCCAGGCCAAAGTTTGGCTGGGTCTCCTTCGTTATACAGAGACACCAGGAAGAGAAAGAGCCTGCAAATCACACAGCCAGCGTTGGGAGCTCCTGTGGCTTCCTTCAGTGCTTAGACCAATTGGAGGAGCCAGAAGTATAGTGGAGGGTGGGGCAATTCTGCAAAGTTGAAGGTGAGAGATTAATAATTGTATTCCTATTCTATGGATAAGAAAGCCTAAGAGAGGTGGAGTGACTTGCCAAACAGTCACACAGATATCTCTGGACAGAAGTGGAACTTAAAACTGACTTGTGTTCATGTGTGTGTGTGTGTGTATATGTGTATGTTTCCTAATCGAGCACCTGCTTTGTGCCAGGTACCCTTCTCCACCCCACCCCACCCGAGCTGCTTTCAAGAGTTGGCAGTTAAGACCCTGGAGAAGGGGAGTATTTATCTTGAGGTCACTGCTGGGCCTCCAGAAATCTCCCAAAATGTTCTGCTTAACTTTGAATGCACTTACATATGTTGATCTGGGGAAAAGTCCAAATGGCTTTAACCAGATTCTTAAAAGGATTCTTGTTTTAGAATGAAATCTAATAATCTACCCTTTGACCCTTTTTTAGTGGGAAGAGAAGATTGAAAGGGGCTCCTTGCATCAGATGCCCTCCCCCTCTCTCCTTCCTAGCCTAGGAGTGGGGGTGAGGGGAGAATCCTGCAGGTCTCATTCCCACAGTGGACATTTCTGTATCCCCTACTGTGTGGCTCCTAACTTCTATGGCAGCGTGTAAACATTTCAAACAACCTCCCTGCTAAGATCTTCTTTGATCCTCCCAGCATCTCTTAGAACCAGGCCCCAAGCCTAATTCCACCCATTTTCCTTGCTGGGTTGAGAGGTGAGATAACCCCAAGGTGTTAGGGGTATGTGGCTGGAATCAGTGGAGTCTTGTGGGCTCCCAGTTCAGAGTCGATCCCAGCCCTTAGGAGGCTGAGGGAGGAAAGATATGAGGGGAGGGGGAAGAGGTGAGAGCAGGGAAAGAAACAAGAGAGAAAGGAAAAGTAGCCGTCGCCGCTGCCCGGCTTCCAGTATGAAACGAATCCTGATTCCCTTCATCCGTTCAGCAATTATCTCCTGAGCACCAGCTCTGTGCTCCAGGCTTCCAGACTGACCAGCTGTTATGTGATCAGATTGTCACTTTCCTAGCTGTTCCCAGTATAGAAAGATGGTTTTCAAACTTCCTTTTAGCATTGGAACTTATGTTTTCCCCCTCAAACAAAAGCTACCCAAATTTTATCTGAAATAAAATGAACAAAAGGAATGTTTTTATAAGTACAAAATTATTTTGTAACTCAAAACTTGTAACCTTTACAAAGTAAATCTTGGTGAGAACAGTGATGACATTCTGATGGACGAAAAATTTGAAACCCGAAGGTATAGGTGATGGTTATGGTTTTAACTGAGAACCAGCATTTAATTTACTTCTGTGGCAGATAGTAATTAGAAAATACTGCATTTCATCGACATGCAGGGGCAAATGGTAAGAGTTTTAACAACTTGGTAGAAATGTCAGGAGAAGCTTTGTTTTGAGGTCTGCACAGAAATGAGTTATCCAGCCAGCCCAGCTTAATGGCTTATCAAAAGTTAGCCTAACCTGGTTCTCATCTCAGTCCTGCCACTAACTTGCTGGGTGTCCTTGGGTAAAACACTTGCCCTCTCTGGGCACCGGTTTCTCCATCTGAACATCTGATGATTTCACCTAAGAAAGGAATGTGTGTGTGGAGGTATTTGAGTGTGTTGGATGTTGGGGGTGGGATATAGTGCATATATGCAGAGCTTCATTACTCATCCTCACCATCCACACCCTTTCCAGCGCTGGGCCTGAAGAAGGGGCCACAAAACCACTGAACTGCCGAAGTTCTAAGGCGGAGGTGGGTTGTCATGGAGACATGCTTTGTTTCCCAACTGTCTGGCTGCATCTGACAAGCTCAAATAGCTGAGCCAGATGGACACTGACCTAGGCTGAGAGAGCAGGAATTTCCTGACCCCAAGATCCACAGGGCCCACTGCTCTCCAAGGAGTGCTCAGTTCTCACCCCCCAAACAGGGGGATGACCAGCCTGGGCCTGCCAGCTGATAAGGCTTTGTGTAGGGGGCTGCTGGGTGGGGCCCTCAAGGTGTTTGCAGATACCCAGTCCACTAGTCCTGGGCAGCAAGTCTGGCCCTGTGCCCAAGGGCACGGCTAGGAGGGAAACATCCACATTCAGGGCCTTGGGGAAGCTGGAGGAAGGGTGAAGATGTGTGGGCAGAGCTCCCTGCCCATGATCAGAGGGAAACAGCTGGATGTGGATTCTCGGAGACGCCCCCACCCCGCCTACACAAACACGCTGAGATACACACAAGTTGACACAACTACAGGCACAGCAGTTCACACTGACAAATGTGGATACAAAGCTACATATAGCAAAACACAAACCCAGATACACATTGACACATCTAGATAACTGTAAACAGGTACACTAAGACAGACTGACATCTAAACACATATAAACACACAAATATAGAAACATACTGAAACACAAACTTATGCACAGATGCACCACACACACACATACACACACAATTATACACAGACAAGCTGATACACAGACACACAGAGAAACACAAATGCACACATTCTCAGATGCACATTTTCTAAAAAACCAACTCAGAGAGATTAAGAAATTTGACCAAGGTCATGCAGCTAGTTAGTAGAAGAATCAGGATTTGGATTTCGCCCTGGCTCACTCCGAAAAACTCTTTCTGCTGTCTCAGCCCATAGCCAACCACAGACACAAATTCACAAAAGGGAGGCGCAGGGGCAGGGGGAGGGGCTGCACCTCTGGGCTAGAGAGGAGGGGAGGCTCAGGGAGCTCTCTGCCTGACTGCTCTGGGTCCCTTGGGTGGCTACCCTGGCTAAAGGTTTTGTTTCTGTAAATCCCTGTTAAGGGGCAGGGTATTCCTGGGATGAGAACCTTTGAATCTTTGACCTTAGGCGAGTACCTAGCAGGTGACTGACTAAATGCAGAGCTCCAACCCCCAAGCCTGTTATATCAGTGTCCTCCAGTCTCCTAACCCCTCCTCCCCACCCCCCCTCAATCCCTTCTCTACATGCCCCGGAGGGAACCTTGTCCTTCCACTGCTTAAATTCCTTCCTGTTATCTCCAGGATAAATCCTAGCCTCTTGGACACATAGAGCCCTTCACTCTCTGACCTGACCTGCCTCTCCCCATTTTTCCATTTGGCAAAGCGCTTCTCCTTTAGAACCAGCTCCAGTGCTCCTGAGCCTTCCCTTACTTCTCCATGCAGAATCCCTCCCTGCCTCCACTCCCCACCCCAACCCTACAGAATTTGTCCAGGAGACGTCCACCACAGGACTTATAATCAACACCATCGTGGCTTCTCCACTGGTAGACTGACCAGGTCTTCTCCCTTATTCTTACAACAACCCTAAAGAGATTGTCCCCATTTTGTGGATGGTTAAATGGAGGCCCAGAGAGGTTAAGTCCCTTCCTAAAGGTCTGATTTTTTTTTCGTAGATCCGTCTTTGGCCAAGCCACATACAATCGCATTATAGCACACATGTTTCCATTGCTCTCCCAGAAGCTAAAGTTAGCCGCCCTAGAGAACAGAGACTGGCCTCCTTCAGCTCTGACTCTGGTGCTGGCACACACAAGCTTGGCATAGTGAGGAGGAGCTCAGTGAATGTTTGTTTAATGGGGTACCAATCCACTTGCTGCCTTTCTGAGTGACAGAATAAGAGAGGATAGGAGAGATGTGTTAGGGAAATGGAGTATACTGGGAGGGCCCCTGTTTAGCTGGGATTCCCCAGGAAGTCACTAAAGGCCAAAGTTCCTTCCAGATCTGGCTGTGGTGACCCTGGAGCCCAGCAGACCCTGCTGGAGGAGCAGGTGTCCTCTGGCTCCTCCACATGTCCCTTCAGTCAGGAGCTCTCAGCCAATCTGTTATTAAATATTTACCATTTCCCACTCTGCTCAGCTTGGTGCCAGGTCCTGGAGGAGGAGACCAAGGAGCATAGAACAGGGAACTGTTTGCTGTTAATGATCACCTACCAGGTGTCACAGGAATCCTCCCAGTAGCCTTACTGGTTGGATTTTCAGCCCTTGTTTTGCAGTTGGAGAAATGAGGCTCAGAGGGAGGAAGACACTGGTCCCAGCTCACACAGTCATTGAGCCAGGATCCAGAGTAAGGCATCCTTCCCCTGCATCCTGCACCCCAACCCCCAGCAGAGAGGATGTGGGCCTGGCTCAGAGGAGACTAGAGGAGGCCATTTTTGAGGTGGGGTTGTGGCTAGACCACAGCCTGCCCTGCCCGATTGTCTACAATAACAACAGTTCACATTTGTCCAGCACTTTCCCGTCCATTAGCTCATTCAGCCCTCCCCAACATCCTCTCGGGTGCCTATTATTATCTCCATTTGACAGATGAGGGATGGTAGCTCAGTGAGGTCAAGTGACTTTCCCCAGGTTGCACAGCCTGCACACACGGCAAAGCAGGAGTAAACTTTTGGACTCCAATCCTCCTTCTGGGTCTCATTGCTACTTCTGCTCCTCCTCCCACCCCTACCCCCAGGCCCACCCCCAGCAGGGAGCTCTCTAAAACACAAATGCGAGCTTCTAGCTCTGAGGACTGGGCCAGTCTCTGCCCTCTAATACCTCACACCGCTGTACCTTTGCCCTTGGCTGATTCCTGGGCTCTCCCTGACTTGTTCACCTTTCAAGCTCCTACTCAGCCTACAAGTGCCAATCCAAATGCTACCTTCTCTAGGAAGGCTTCCTGAGTTGACTTCCTCCATACAAACCTCTAATAGAGCAATTATCTTATTATATTCCATTGTTTGTCTCCCACACCAGACTATGAGCTCCTTAACGATTATTTTTTAACTCTGCCTTCCCTGCACGTAGCTTTGCATTCTCAGTAAGTACTTGTTGAACAAATAAATGACATTTGTGGGTGCTGGGCCTGATGGAAGAATGCGGGGGTGGGGGCAATAACAGAAATAGGGCATCAAGAAGAGGAGCTAGTGTTTGGGGAGGAAAGAGAAGGAATGGAATTTTGCTTTTGGCCATTCACAGTCTGAGGTGCCACTGGGACAACCAACTGGACATGCCCCGTAGGTAGGAGTTAGGGGCGGGGCTGGCAGGATAACGACCAGTGAGAAAGGATATTAACAGCAACTTACTGTGTGCCAGACCCAATGGTGAATGCTTTATGTGCATTATCCCATTGGATCCCTAGGAGGTGCATAATATCAACCCATTTGATG